AGGTCTTTGGTTCTTGTAACCATTGCTAACTCTGAGAGACGAGGCAGTCCAAGTAACTTCAAAACAGTGCTGATTTATTCAAAGGATCACAGGTAAAATTAACATTACAAGCTCAGGCAGATGTAAGATGAAAGACCCCGAACCCAACAGGCCTGTACATTATATCTCTTCGGTTGGGCTAGCCCCATACTACACAGAGACGTCAACCAAGACGTCTGTTACCAGCTTTGCAGCTGGCCCTAGCAGTAGTCAAAGCATGAAGCAAATCAACGTGAGAATGTGTATGTCTGTTGGTTAAGTTGTGTGTAGCTAAAAACTTCTTTCTTTTTTTTGTAATAGGCCATAATAATTTTGCTTAAGATATAAGACTGGCTTTGGTCTTTTCACTGAATTTGTGAGAAAAAAATAGAATAGCATCAGCATTAGAATTTAGAGACAAGTTAACTGCACTCATAAAGGGCATTACGTGTTGTTCTCTAATACATTTGTTCTTCTTAGTTCTCTCCACCAGAACCTGTTTTTGCTCCAGACATGCACAGCTATTATCTGCTGATGAGTGACACCAAAGGGTACAAGCACATTCACCATGTGGTTAATGTAGGTAGAATGATTACTTTGGTGTGACACTGCCTAGATCAACAGCTATATCTTCAACTCATTCTCATTCCCAGGTCATGAAATACTGATGTTTTGTCAAGTACCTTTCGCATCTCATACTGATGCTAACTCAGGTACTCTAGCTGTACAATGAATTGCCCCTTAGGAGATAATAAAGGAGAAATCAAATCAAACCATATACTATCATCTTTCTCTGGGTGTTGAAAACCGATGCAAGTTGATACTGTATTGAAAACCCTGTGCATCTCACACATACACCAAAGGCTGCCTTTGGCATCTGTATGAGACGCTAATAGGAATGAAGACAAGCTCATATCCGGCCATAAAGCACAATGAACTCTTTTTTGAGTCATGCACAATATCCTTTATGAATTATGTCACCACTCACACACATTCTGTTTTGACTCATAGGGCACAGCTACACCAATCACCTTTGGAGAATGGGAAGTCATTGACATTCTGAAAGTCACAGCAGATAGTGTGTAAGTCAAATGTATTGCAGCATACAGCTTTATGCAGTCCCTCTCTGAATGCAATCACACTTACAAATACAGTACTGTACAAATGTCTTAGAGCATCATTAATTTAGCTGTTTCAGCAAGGTTGTAATGATAATTTACATTTATTTCTCAGTCTCTTTATTAAGATATAACCAGAAAATATAAACACAATACTAAAAATACACAAAGTCCAAAGTCAGTATTTAGTGTGATCCCCCTTTGCACTTAGCAAAGCTTGAATTCTTTTGGGGAGACCATTTTGAAACCATGACAGAGCCTCCACCATGTTTTGCTGAAGGCTGCAACCTCTCATTCTTCCACCTCTTTCCAACTCTTCTTCTCACATACTGTCAACAATTGGACCTGAAATTTTCAAACTTTGATCCATCACTCTATAATGATCTTCACGAATTTTTGTATGTCTCAGCCTTTTCTCCCTGTCCTCTTATGAAAAAGTGGTTTCTTGGCTTGTCCTTCCAAAAAGGCTGTTCCTGATCAGGCTTCTTCAGATTGGGGAGGGATCAACTTGTTATCCAGATGAAGCTGCTAGATAGTGAGCCAGGTCCTTGCTGGATTTCCTCTGTTTTCTCAAAGAAGAAACTCTGAGAAATGTCATCATTTCTCCTGTTTTTGTCCTTGACCTCTGCAGATTCTTCATATTTCTTTAGAACAGCTTGAATACCACATCTTGAGTATCCAGTTTGTTTGCTGTTTTTTTTCTGACATTTTTTGTTTTTAATAGTGTGCACATAATTGCTATATATATTTTTTGTATTCTGAGAAATAAATATATACACCCATCATAACACTGCTAAAACAACAAATCTAATGATGGTCTAAGACTTTCCACAGTACTATATATACACCAGTAAAGCCTTCCTTCCTTCTCACTCATACCAATTACTCCACAGATACTATTCAAGTAACCAAGAGGGCAACAAGCCAGGAGGAAGGAATGTTTACAAGTAGGGGTCTTTATTTTACAGTTTTACTATTTTTGCTTATTTGTAAACATAACACTTACAGTGTGTGTGTGTGTGTGTGTGTGTGTGTGTGTGTGTGTGTGTGTGTGTGTGTGTGTGTGTGTGTGTGTGTGTGCATCAGGTGGACCAAACAACAAGAGACCAAGTGTCTGACTTGTTCAATACATGGGGGGAAAGACTGTCAGTATAACTCAGCTTACCTCAGCCACAATGCTTCCTTCTACCGTATGAGCTGCAATGGTCAGTTATGCTTTGTTTTTAACTTTCCTTGTTCAACTCTTGTAATATAGACCCAGGGTTTTCCCTACTATAGAAAGGCTTAGGCTCAGCACCTAAGGTTGGCCCCACACTAGAGGATTTTATAATCTTAACTGATTTTAAAAGCATGAGACCACAGACTGGATACCTCAGCTCTGTTGTACAGCACTTTGTGCCCCTAGGAGTTGTATAGTGCTATATAAATAAAGGTTATTATTATTATTATTATGACAGCTTTAACAGATTTTTTCACATTTTAATCTTAAGAGCACACACACTAGATGATTCAGTCAGTCAATAACAGAGACATGATTTGATCTTAAAATGAAATGTAAGCTGTCAACAGGAATGACCTGTCAATCAATATTCAGTATTTGGACAAACATTTGTGTGATTGGCAGCATTGCCAAGCCAATCAAATCACTGAATGTCAAGAGCAAGTCAGTACTCCTCTGTACTGCCAACTCAGGATGGTAGTTATAGCAGTCAATAAGGTTAGCCTTCACTAAGCACACATGAAGAAGGATATAACTTTACTGGGGAATAATTCTTGTGAATGGTAACAATGGAGATAGCAGAATGTAGCCTGTTTTACAAGTGAAGAAATTGCTAAAGTAGCTAACACGTACAGAATTAGGTAAGTTAGGTTAGCCATGGAAGCTAGTTAGTTGACATTAAAAAAGTATAAATATAATTTAGGTTTAAATATATAAATATCTTAGAATTTCCTTCTAAAATTTTTACCCCCCTATTTAAAAAAACGGTCTAAGCTGTATGCAAGCCTAAGGAAAACCTTGAACTATCTGCATATTTATATAAAAATAATATTAATGTACTTTGTATTTCAAGGTCCGGACATTCCTTACCATTCTCTCATGGATACTCGAAATAACATAGGTAAGATACAAGTTTGTGATTGAATCTGAAATAAGGAGGAGGAAACCTTTATAAGACTTATGTATAGTGTTTTTACATTTGTAGAACTGAAACCCTTGGAAGACAATAATGCATTTAGGAGCATGATATCTGACATCCAAATGCCCAGCATGAGTCGTGGCTTTTTCAGACTTGGTGGATACAGTAAGTGAATTCAGCAATGTCAGTATTCATGAAGCGGTGGGAAGTAACTAAGTATATTTACTCATGTACTTTACTTAAGTATAAGTTTTTGGTATTTCCATTTTATCAAATTTCTTTAACAAGTACAGTTAAGGTATAGATTTAGATTCTACATTTAAAAATCATGGCAAAAAAAACAGATAATACTTTGTAAATGATCTTATTTGTAATTAAAGCAAGTCTGTGGTTAAGAAATGATGATTTGAAAGAATTGAGGTCAGACTGAATATGAGTTGATGTAAAATTTTATCCACATAAAAATTTACATCAAAATACTGATTAGAAAAAATAATACTCTTATGACTTCATAAATAGTAGTGGTCCAAGAATAGACCCCTGTGGCCACCCCATTACTCAGTACCATCTGCCACTACAGTCTGGGTCCTCCCTATAAGGTAGGAATGGAACCAGCTGACTGCAACTATTACCAGACATGGAGGAAGAAATAAAAGTTAAGTTAAATACATCAAAATAAAATTAGTTAACAGTTCCACCAAACAGAATTTAATCCAAAATTTCACAAAAACAAAAATGAGAGAAAATTAAGTTTTTTTCTTTTTTTCCCCCTTTCCCATGAATTATCTCACAGCCACTTTAAAGGGGACTAACCCCCAGGTTGGACTCCAGAGGAATCGTCATTTCACTTTGAACCAGTTCTTTTACTTTTTACTATTTTTTTCTGATATTACTTCTGTACTTAAGTAGGATTTTGAATGCAGGACTTTTACTTGTAATAAAGTATTTTTACTTAGTTGATAGCTCCTTTTCCTTAAGTAAACAAATAATAATAATCTTTTGCTACTGTATAAGAGTTGATTAGCAAGAGGTTAAGTAAAAATCATGCTTTTCTCTGGATGTTCATATTTGTGACAGATCTCTGGTTCCAGATGTTTTTCCCTCCAGGCTTTGAGAAAGACAAGAAGTACCCTTTACTGATAGATGTGTAAGAATGTATTTTTAAAAAGCAATAAAATAAAATTATAGAAGTTTAAAGAGGGGGACTAAAGGCTGATCCTGAATTTTCCCAACCCTTCAGGTACGCAGGTCCCTGCAGTCAGAAAGCAGACTTCGCCTACAGGGTGAGCTGGTCCACTTACCTGGCCAGCACAGAGAAAATCATCATCGCCAGCTTTGATGGAAGAGGAAGTGGTTTCCAGGGCGACAAGATAATGCATGAAATCTACAAACGTCTGGGAACCTATGAGGTGGAAGATCAGATAACAGCAGCCAAGTAAGGAAAGCAAAGAGCAGTTTAGACAAGTCAGTGCATCTCAAGCAAACAGCTTTACCCAGGACAGCTTGTTAAAACTGGATTTTAGTTGTTTCACTGAAATGCTCCCTGGTATACACGCAACTAGTGAAAATGTGACAAATATCACCAAGTGATGATGTTCACTGCAGCTTTAGATCCTTGACATCATCGAAAATAATGGTTTTTGATTTTGTTTGCTTTTATTTTTAGGGAATTCATCAAAATGGGCTTCATTGACAAAGACAGAGTTGCTATTTGGGGCTGGGTAAGTAGGTTATTAGTTCAGAGGGCAATAAATGTCTCTAAAGGTAAGTTAATATTTACCCTACTGTCAGTGTGCTTGGTCTTTGTTAAATGCAAGGAGCCACAATAATCTGCTGTTTAACTTCCACAGTCTTATGGTGGATATGTAACATCAATGGTCTTGGGATCTGGCAGTGGGGTTTTCAAATGTGGAATAGCTGTGGCTCCAGTCTCCAAATGGGAATATTATGGTATTTTCCCCATCTTTTTTTAAGTTCTCCATACTGAGTCCACTCACTTTAATGACATGCATCTGCAATTATCTGTCTGTATTCCAGATTCTATCTACACAGAGCGTTACATGCTGGAACCATCAGAAAATAATCTCGCCTACACTGTAAGTTTCACACTGAGTGAATAATAAGCTCTCATGAATCTGAGGGTCATTATTAGTTGTGCTGTTGCCTGTGGTCACCAATAAACACAAATTTGCTTGTTTGAAGAACTCAACAGTAACTGAGAGAGCCAAGAATTTTCATTCAGTACAGTATCTCCTGATTCATGGAACAGCTGATGGTAAGTTGGCCTTTATTCATTTATGTATTTATTAGATATTATTGTGCAAGATACAGATACAGAACTGTAGGGAACTACTGGCCTCCACGTACACCAGACTGGATAGAATTATGGGCAGATTCTATTTAAAATTGTTAATCATTTTATTTCTGTTGTGTTTTTTTAGACAATGTTCATTTCCAGCAGGCAGCTGAGATATCAGAATCTCTGGTGGAGGAGCAGGTGGACTTTGAAGCAATGGTGAGTAATCTGGAAAATTCAAAGTGGAATCAGCAAGAAGATGATATACGTTCATAAGGATATGCATTTCAAAAATCCTAGCTAGAAAAAAGATTAGACATCGCTGATGAAAAATAAAAAAAAATCCACTCCATGTTCAATAATATGGACTAGTGTCAGCACAAATGAGATATTTTATTCTTTCAGTGGTACACTGACAAGGATCATGGCCTTGACGGCTCAGCCTATCAACACGTCTACACCCACATGAGTCACTTCCTACAGAGGTGCTTTGCATGAAGTCTGCTGTCTGAAGTATTAGGCCATGTTCACACTGCAGGCTGAAATGGCTCAAATCCGATCTTTTTGCCCAAATGTGACCCATATCCAATTTCCTTATGACAGTGTGAACAGCACAAATCCGATTTTTTCAAATCCGGCCCAGGCCACTTTCATATGTGGTCCTAAATCGGATACATATCCGATGTTTTCCAATGCGACCTCAGTCTGAACGGCCATGTCGCATTTCATGCGATTTTTATGTCATTGAAATGCGACAGACGTCACAATTCTGCACTGGAGGAGGCGAGGCCATAAGCAATATTTGTGCTCTCCTTCTTCTTGATATTTTTATTATTATTATTTCTTTATTTCGATTGCACATTAACTGGTACATCGCTACGCACATGCTATCACGAGCCGCATCCATTTTTATTTTCGCAAACACAGTACGCTGCGTCTGATGTCATGTCCTCTTCTGTGCATGCGGGTCACCTCAGGGCTGTATACCGTTCACACATGAGACAGATGGCAGTCGCATTTAAATGACAATGTGAACAACCGCAAAAAAATCGGATTTCGGCAAAAAATTCGATCTGAGCATTAAGACCTGCAGTGTGAACGTAGTCTTAATGTTCCAAATGCTAAGGAAATTTTTATTTTTAGTTTGGAGTAATCACATGGAACGTCAACTTATAAATAAATGGTACAAAGTGGCCTAAGTCAAATTTGTAATGTCATTCTTTGTCTGTGAAGTTTTGTCTTGCATATTTTCAGTTACAAAAATCGGCTTCTTTGGCAATTGTAGCTGAAACTTTTATTTGTGAAACATGGAAAATGTCATTTATGTTTTACAGTTTATGCATTTAAATTTTAAAGATGTCATTATCTGACCCAAGGAAGGCCACAAATATTACAATGTGAAGGTTAAAAAGTAAAAAATGTTGTCAGAGTGAAACTGCACTTCTGCATCTAAGAGCTAAATTTTGCACAGAAGCACCAGAGGGATTTTATACAGTTTTACAAAATTTATGAAATTGATTGTTTGATGCAATAATTGTTTTTTAAAATAATAAAGAATTAACAAGGTCTTGTTTGTTTTATTTTGTTAAGCTCTATATAGCTACTGGACTATCTTATCATATATATCAGTTAACAAGAGGCATATTATACAAATTTCATTTATTAACAGTGATGGATGAGCCTTTTTGCGCCTTCTCGGTGTAAGATAAAAATCACCTTTTTCCTCAAAAGTTAACAGAGAAGCTATCCCTTTTGCTTCCTCTTTCTTTGTTTTAGCTTTTCAGTCATCTCTCTTTGTTTGGCATCTTCTTCACTCCCTTTTTAACTGATGAAATAAAATGGCTGTTATTTAGGTTTATCTTTCTTTTTTTGGTGAACACAGTAAACATCAAAATGTTAGTATTGTCAACACCACTATGTCTATGTACAGCCTCACACCGTTGCTAGAGTGACTGTAGATTATTGGTTGACTGCATACTTGAAGGAGAATGGGATAAAATGCAGGCCCAGCTGTAGGCTTTTAAATACATCTCTGAGAGGGTTTGTTTTGTCCAAAGGGTTCATGAAGGTACAGTGCTCTGGTACTGTCTTTTTGCTCTATGGATTTTTTAAAAATAAATCTGAGAAATACATGATTCTTTCAGCCCTGACACCTCATAGATTTTTGTTTTTTAATAAATAAAATATTTGGGATGGTATGTGAGAATCATATAACAGCAGCAACAGCAGCAGTTATATGAACATGTATTTTTTATAAAGCATCTGTCTTTATTCTTGTACCTTTACCTTGTAAAACAGAGATAAGTGCCATTAATACAAGTACAGTCAATATTTCCCATCATGATGACACAGTAGCACATTAAACTATCTCCCTTACTTTTTGTTTAACAGGATGAGCTGAGTGTTTGATGTTAACACCTAAGTCTCTGTATGCATGAATGGATGGCAGCTTTCCTTTCTGAACAAATGCTTTGGCTATTGTTCGATGAGACAGGGAACGTGTGTAATGGGTTGAGAGTAACACATGGATCCACATCTTCCACTATATAAGCCAACAAAGTAAAAGAGGGCAGTTAGAGGCACCAGAAAAACAAAGGAACTAACAGCACCATATTTTGGAAAGAAAAAAGAAACCGTGAGTGATATTACTTACTAACTGCTTAGCTTTAGCTTTCTAAGATAATGCGCATTTTTAAAAGCTAAATCACCTTTATGGCTGTGTGTGATGTTCTGTGGCATAGGTTATAACCATGAAAAGTGTCCACTCCCTGGCTGGCATCCTTCTGGTCCTTGGCTTTGTCCAGAGCAGCTTGCAGGTTCCTGTGCATGAGGCTTATGACAGCTCAAGGTAAGACTTCATGAGGTTGTGTCGTTATTTACGAGACCACAGCTTCAACTGCTTTTAGTAGATTTGCATAAAGAACCTCAAATGTAGACAGAAAAAGAACATTCTTAATCAAAAGAGCCACTTCTTAATAACTAAAACTTGTGTAAAAATATATTTAATTAATACAAATCTGATTAAAGTCACTGAATCACAGTTAAAACTGCTATATTTATAAGACAGTGATCCAAAATCTGCAACATGAAGCAAATGTTCAATTCAAATTCAAAGATTCTGAAAGGGGATTAATGTAACAAATATATAAATATTGAATACTCAAAGATGAGAAAGACAAAGTCAATTGAAGATCTTAGATTAAAATATGATCCATTCTCAATTTTAAAATATGGATTGGAAAGATCATCAAATATCTGCAGAAATTTATCACTAAACTAACAGAAATTGATAGTGCAGCAGAAATGCAACGTTTTATCGCCCTAATAAATATACTAAATACAATACAACTGCATCATAAGTGAGGAATCTATTCTAATTTTACCAGTATATTTTAGCCTTGTTACAGTATATATCAAAGTCATGGTGAATAAATGTTAAATGGGAAACAGAATGCATGGATTAAAAATGTATTTTGTTGACTTTGTTGAACACCCCTGAATTAGTGGATTAAAAGAACTTAAAGCTAAAAAAAAACATGTACACTTTAAAACAATTTACCAGTAATATATGAGATACAATACAGCAGGATAAGAGTGCCAGTTATTAATTATTAATGTAAATGTTTCTTTGGGAACTACTTTTATATTTTTTTCTGTTTTTTTTCTTTTTCTCCTACAATATTATGTAGCCTATTTTTAATTTTTGAGCTATTACCATCTACATCTGTTTACCATCTACATCTGTTTAAATGACAACTCAAGGACTATGAACCCAAAAAGGACATAAAAAATTATGACATTTCCAACCATATAAGAGATAAGATAAGATAATCATTTATTGTCATTGTAACACGTACAACAAAATTTTAGAGTGACCTCCAGTCGGCACAGCAATAGAAAAAAAACATAATATATGAAACATATAATAATAACATATGAAATAAGACCATATAAAAAACTTAACCAATAGAAAAATGAAATAAACAACAGAGATCTCACACGCCCCCCCCCCAACACACATACACAGGCATATTATATTTTATCAGCAGTGAGTGTGGTAACTGCTGTTGGGTAAAAACTAGTCCTGAATGAATAAATTCCTTTTGTCATTAACTGTTTTGGAAAATTACACTTTTTCATACTACAGCCATGTTCCCTATCTGTAAACTGTGACTGGGTGCCATATGGTGGCGCTGCAGGAGAAAGAAAACTTGTTTGTAGTATAAAAATACTACAAATGGTCAAACTGTGTCCTCTGTGCTGCAGTTTTGAGGCAGACAACTCGTTAGTGGATGAACCGAGGGAGCTGTCAAACATGAAGAGACACTCAGAAGGAACATTCTCAAATGACTACAGCAAATTCCTGGAAGAGAGGAAGGCACAGGACTTTGTTCGGTGGCTGATGAACAACAAGAGAAGCGGGTTAGTGTTGGGATCCTTTTGCAATCACACCAGATGTGTATTGTAAACAGGTTTTCACTTGCTTGGCCCTCTATCTTTAACACTAAATCTAGTAGAATTCAAGGTTAGGATGTTCAGTTTTGTTACTTAAGTAAAACGAGACAAATAATAGAACAGTATAAATGCACTTTTGCATTAAAAACCTCACATAGGTACAGAAGTATTATCAGCTCATATATTTAAATTATATCAAAATAAAAGTTCATGTTCAATAGAAAAAATATCCCCTCTGACTCATATTATTACTAGATTGTTAATACTGTTGCACGATTGTGTAAGCAGCATTTTACTGTTGTTTGGTAATCTACAGTATGAGTTGGGGCCCCTTAAAACACAAACTGGACTTTTCTTTAATTTTGGATTTGTTTGAGAAATATTGAATAATTTGACCGTTTCACACCTCAAACAGTTGTTTAAACCAACCCATTTAGAAGTTTAGAGGGTAAATGTTGAAAAGGAACAAGGGGCCCCACCTAGACTATGTTTTTTAGGGGTCACAACCAAACAAGTTGTAAATCACTTGTTTATTCTATAAAAACGTGTTTACTTTTATGTAAAATTTTGAAAGTAACTTGTAACTACAACTGTCGGATAAATGCATTATAGTAAAAGTATTCCATGCAAGAGAAGTATAACAGCTTAAAATTAAGTACAGTACATGAGTAAATGTCTCACTGTATCTTTTCAGCGCTGCAGACAAGCGCCACGCGGATGGAACCTTCACCAGTGACATGAGCTCCTACCTCAAGGACCAGGCCATCAAAGACTTTGTTGCCAAACTGAAGTCTGGACAAATCAGAAGAGAGTAGGCTGTCGCTCCTTCCCTCTCCCTCCTCCTACTGCCTGCTTGTGTCTGATTCCATCATGATGACAGAGACAGAGATGTTGGGTCAAAGACAAAGAGCTAATCACCTGCTTCTTGTGCCACTTTTTTCCTTTCTTTGCTTTGTTTTCTTGACGTTTCTTGTGGCTGTGCTAAAATAAATCACCTGAAGTTGTTGCACTGTGTTGATTGATATGTTATTAAACTGTGATGTTTTGTATGAGATTTTTTTTTTACAAATAACATGCAAGAAGAAGTTGAAAAACAGCAACATGTCTTCACTTATCACAAAAATATGGATGATAAAAATGACTGCTTCGAAGAAGGTTGTGTTTCACATCAAACACTGGAATTCAAATGTCAGGTTTCCACCCTGGGGTTGCTGACCCTTAATGGGCAGTATTTACATTGTATGTCTGTGTACATACTCAGATCTGAAATGGACAGGCGGGGCAAAGCATTCAGCACGAGGCATGTAGATGGAAGTTTCACCAGTGATGTGAACAAGGTGCTGGACTCCATGGCTGCCAAGGAATATTTACTGTGGGTCATGACCTCCAAGCCTTCAGAGGAAAAGGTAAAACTGTCTGACTGATCTGATGAATGCTGCAGGTATGTTTTTCACTCATCAGTCTTAGTGTGATTGTGATTTTCTTTCTTTTGCAGTAAAAAAAAAAAAAAGACAAGTGGACCAATGTGACATTCCTTAATGAGTCCCTCTGTGTAGCTGCACTCAAAGCCATATACAGGAGGAAAAGAAGCCTCTTTGCATGGTGTAATGTCAACACTATATTTAAATTTGTAAGTTTTTTTTACTTAATGTGATACAAAGATACATTCCATAGTTTATGGTGCACCAGGAAAAAGAAATTAAACTGAGGGCATATTTTTCTACAAAATTTAAATTTTCTATATTTTTAAAGGTGGAAAAAAAAGGGAACACAAAAAGTGAAATATCAGGTAGGGTCTATAGGAAACATTTTTCATAGCATATTATTCATCCACTCTGCAAAATAAAGTTTTTCATGGCATGCTTGTTGTATCAATTTCATTTACAAATTTACAGCTAGATGTCTTTTATGAACTTCATATAAAATGGCTTAAATTCTGCTGATACCAGGTAATAGCTTATAAATTACACTGAACAAAATTATAAATGCAACACTTTTGTGTTTGCCCCCATTTTTCATGAGCTGAACTCAAAGATCTACGACTTGTTCTATGTACACAAAAGGCCGATTTCTCTCAAATATTGTTCACAAATCTGTGTTAGTGAGCACTTCTCCTTTGCCGAGTTAATCTATCCACCTCAAAAGGTGTGGCATATCAAGATACTGATTAGACAGCATGATTATTGCACAGGTGTGCCTTAGGCTGGCCACAATAAAAATATGCAGTTTTACTGTATTGGGGGGGGTATTAAGTATACTAAAGTATTTCCCCAAGTGTACTTTTATTTACCAAGTACACTGATTCAAATGTACTAGCACTTTACTAACAAGTATACTTCTTGGGACTAAATTGGCCCACTTTAAGTTTATGAAAGTACACTTTGAAGTATACTTTAGGTAATCTTCCAGGTATGCTGTTAGTTTACTCTTAATAAACTTCAAGTCGACTTTTAGTTTAAGTAAGTACACTTTAATGTATACTGCAAGTCATCATCTTCGTATACTATTAGTTTACTATAAGTAAACTCCTAGTGCCCATTTTAGTTTATGAAAATAGACTTTGAAGTATACTGAAAGTAACCTTTTAGGTTTCCTATTAGTGTTAGGATGGCTCGAACACGGAAGTGAGCGAGTCACAAAAATTGACGGACCCAGGTGGCTGACTTCGATGCAAGCAGTGCAAGTTTATTTACAGTGTACAACAAGTGACCAAGAAATGAACAGACGAGTAACACTGGGACCGGGTGTCGAGCTTCGGATGGGAACACAGTCAGTGGTGGAGATGATGAGAAGAGGACCGGGCTGCGGACACTGGGACTCACTCATCAGAGGAACAAACGGGCCTGAGAAATGCTAGAAAGAACTGGCAGGGGAGTTAACGAAGAGCAAGGGCTAAATAGGGAGAAACTAATTAGGTGCAGCTGGTGGTGATCAGGGGATGTGAAGCAGGTGTAAGGGATAAAGTAATCAGGGTAAGGGAGTGAAAACAGAGAGAGGGGAGTGAGAAAGTAGGTGCAGCCGGGCAAACCTGACAATTAGTATACTAATAATAAACTTCTAGTCCTCTGGTTAGTGTACAAACATACATTTTCAAGTACATGGACTGTATTTTATATAGCGCCTTCTCACAGCGTGTTGCACTGGCCAAGCGGGATAAAGTAATCAGGGTAAGGGAGTGAAAACAGAGAGAGGGGAGTGAGAAAGTAGGTGCAGCCGGGCAAACCTGACAATTAGTATACTAATAATAAACTTCTAGTCCTCTGGTTAGTGTACAAAAATACATTTTCAAGTGTACTACAAATAACCTAGTAATACCTCTAGCTCCTAAGTGAAAAATATTGAAATAAATGTGACAAATATTGATTGCGGTATTTTATTGAGCTCAACTGAACAGTTCCAAATTTCCGCTCACATATCTAATTGCAAGATTTGCGATATTGTTTTTAAAACCAAGATTCAGTTCACAGAGCACATTTTAAACCTGTCTGGAAGCACTAACACTTCAAAAAAGACTAAAATATGAACTGTGAGACTTCCACAAGAATCACATACCTTTCAGAACAAGGGAAGCAGGTTTTAACCATATACAGTATTTGGTTTTGTGCAGAAATATTATATTGCCAAAGTTTAAATGTCCAATGTCTTTTTAGTAGCAGCTTGCTTGTAGTTTTCATTGTTGCATTTTTTTCGGATTATTCTTCTTACATCTTGTACGCTTATTCCTGGGAACTTTGAGAGAGCGTGGCCTGTGAGTTAAACAGATAAAACACAAAACAAAGTATCAAAATGTACTTTTATAACATTCGCAGTGTGAACATTCTCAGCTTTTCACCTCAGTAATTTTTACATAAATCATTCTACATAAATAGAGGTTGTGTACTAATTGATTTTAAATTAATTTCA